TTGCATACTTATTTATAATATAAGTAGGTCGTAGTCAAAGGGTTAAATAACACACCATATCTCATGAGAAATTTCACAAATTTATAATTTAAGAGAAGTGATTTGGGCAAAATAATATCCAGGTTATTACTTAGCCTTTCCTCTAACAATTTTAAACACTTGGATTGTGTCATGTATCAAAACTTGATCTGATTTTTAAGTTTGTACCTGTAGTTCAAATTTCTTAAACCTGATCTCGCACCAGTAAATATCTCTCTATTCTTTCAAAATTAGAATTTGAGTTTTCTCAAAATAATTTCCACCTTCTTTAAAGTGTAATGAAAATTCTGAAACACATTTATCTCTTTTCACACTTTAGCTTTATCCCAACAAAAGGTTCTTCTTTGCCCGTCTAAGCAATGGTATGAATTCTATCTCACTTGCTCCAGTTGTTATACCCCACTATATCACCCCTAATGATTTTTATCTTGTGACTCTCTCCACTTGCATCAATGCACCCTCTATACCCAATCTGTATATAAGCTCCCTGTTATTCTTTCTTATTCACTTTTCCCCAACAGCAAAAATTACGAAGAGTCTGATGTGTTTGCTGCTGGTTTCTCTTCAATGCTAATACTACATTTGAAACGTTTTCTTTTGAATTATTTTAAATCTTTTCACAGGGCTTCAGTTTATTGTTTATTTTCTTGATTTTATGGAAACAAAATATTTGGGGATGTTTTTTTGGAATATGAATATTCACATTCACAACCCAGGCATCAGGAGGGGGTGGGGCATCTAACTCAGAGGACATACAATTTCTTGTACACAGAGGGGTAGAGTCTTACATGTTGTCCAATGTTTTTCTTCTGTTGGCTCTGAGGCAAAGTCTGTGGGAGATCAAGGAGAATTTAGATTATTTTTCTAGCATCTTCCTTTGCTCAGACAGTTGCTCATGAACCTTAGACAGACATCTTGCCTCTTACAGGTCAGTTGAGGGAGGGTGTTGCTATGCCTTGTCCTCCTCACTTATTGGATCAGTATACCTTGGCTTTTCATCACCTAGTGAACCCTTATTTGGACTTTCAGACATTAGACCCTCTACTTTCTATTTGAGGCTCTACAAAAGATACCCTATTCATCTTATACGGTCACAATTTTCAAGAATTTGTTTGTCACTTACAACAGTTTTTTGTTTTTTATCATCTTTGCAACTGCTGTCTGAGGCCTATCATAGATTACCTTCTCAAATTTTGGAGGATCTTAATCATTTATTGACTACACTGTGGTTAGGTTATAGGCTTTTGCTCTCCTTGGTACCTTGATTGGTTTGTTGCTGAGATCTTTTGGAGAGAGAGATGCCTTACTGAAGGGAGTTTGCCATCCTGCATTGGCTCTTGGAGATTTAAGTGAACCTTCTTTTCTCAGTCTATTTTGCAGGAATTCCAGAATTCATGGAATCTCAAGTAGATAGTGATCATCTCCATTTTTTGATTTCTACACTGGCTTTCCAACTGTCCCAACATTCTTATACAGGATGGTTTACTGCATCTCCTGTTCATGTTTCCAGACCTCCTTCTTTGACACCATGATCCATTGTTACACAAGGGCAGTTTCACTTTACCAGTGGGGAGCGCATCTCTTGATGTTGGTGACTACCTTATGGGGTCAGATCCTGTGGGGTCTCATCCCTGAAGGCTCATGTCTGTATGGGAGACATTCACCACAGATCAGTGGGTCATTCAACTTTTTAAGAGGGGATTGAGCCTTCAGTCCATCTTTCCTCCTCTCTCATACCAGTTGGTTTTTCACTCCCCAAAATCCCTCTTACATCCAGTTGTTGAGCATCCAAGATCTTCTGCACAAAAAGGCCATAAAGCTTTTCACCTTCTCTCTCTGAAGGGCTTTTATTCTTAGCTGTTTGTAGTATTGAAATAGACAGGCAATTGGTAACCAGTCACTGGCTTTTTTCTTTTCAATCTTTTCCTCCAGCCTCCTCGGTTTACAATAGAGTAATTTCTTTCCCTTCAGTGGCAATCTTCACGTGGCCAATGAATGAAAAAATTTGATGTTGCAGATGCCTACCTTCATATCCCGGGTTGACGAATCTTCAAGATGTTATCTCCATTTGGGGCATTACAAGCAGGTTTTTCAATTTTGTGCTCTACCGTTCAGCCTCACTTCTGCTCTATACATTTTTATGCCCTATAGTCATAGCTTTTTTGCATCCTCTTCACTCCCTCAGCATTCACACTCATCATTACATGGATGATTGGCTTTTTCTCTCCCCTTCCTGCCATTTGGCAGAACTATACACTCAAGCTCTGGTATGAGAAGCTGTGAGAGCTGGGTGTCTTATCAAAAAAGAGTAATCTATTCTTATTCCCACACAGTATCTCATACATTTAGGAGTGTTTTCAATTCTAGACTCAGCTGGGTCCAATCTTCTTCTCTACTCCTTCAGGTCATGGAACAGACAGTTCTTCACCAGCACACACAGTTTGGCCACCAATTTTGATTTGCTTACTTTACGTCTCACACTCAATCCTTTTTTGGTCGCACCTTTTTTTTTACACCTAAAGTGTTTTTTTGATTAGATAGTTTTTAGATGGACATGCAACTTGCAGGAATAGTATATGCATTCTTGTTTTAGAAAATAACCAAACCACATAACTTTTTTTTTTCATGTCAAGTGGGCTATGATGTCTTAATCACCTTTTTAATTTAATCCTTGTAATAATTATTCAGAAAGATGACATCTTACAGTTGACTTACTAAAACACCAAACAAGGTAAATATGAAAATAGGAGATAAAATGTATTGTGATTATATTACATGTCAATTTGCATAAAATTTACAATGTGTGGATAACATTATGTATTGTTATTATGCCATTAATTAAAAGCTTATTGTAAACAATACAAAAACAAACAAACAAACACTTAAGCAATTTTTAAGTGCTAGCTGTTACATGCATGCCCAGTGACTCGTCTGTTTATACAAAATAATACTGTAGTTTGCTAAATGTACCAAAATATTCAGTGCCTGGTGTTACATTAATAAATGTTATTTATTAAATTAATAAATTTGTTTGAAAGATGACATTGGTCAAAATTATTAGTTCAAGTATTATAATAGTTTGTAAATGGAGAGTAGAATTAAAATATTCCACTGTTTGGATTGTTCATAGAAAGCTTACTTTACATATAAACTGTGTAAAGAAATTCAAGGCAGTCACTGTTGATTATTTGCGCTGTATGAAACTGTACACTTGGACAGTGGTAAAATTTAATCCAATTAAATGCTGCCAAATTGAGAATATGGGGGGAAAATAATCAATTTTCATTATTGTTAATGATAGTACTTTGGCCAAAATGATGTGAAACTATGGAGGGCTATAAAGCATACATCTGTTTTGTTTTTATATGTTAGGAGAGCCTGTTTTAAGTAGAATGAGATATACATTAAGTTCTGTTACCAGTAACTTCCTTGAGATTGGCACTTCTTATTAAGTTGAACTTATAGGCAGCATTCTGTATTACTTGTGAGCTTTCAAGATGAGTATAAAGTTTGCTCAAACCGAGTTTCTGAAACTCCTTACTTACACATACAGAGTAGGAACAACTGCAGTCAATAAGTGAGGTAATATACAATTTACCAACATATGTTTTATTTTGTTAGTTTGTAGGCTAAATATATTTTTTATGTGAATTTGTAAATGTACAAAAAAATAGCTTGGGCACATGACATTTGAGAACATGGATGCAGATTTAGGAATATTTACTTGTTCTTAATTATGTACAGTTTGCAGGCCTAATTGTTTACTGATAGGCACACACACACACACACCTTGTGTACAGGCTTCCTGTGTTTTATGACTGCAAATCTTGTTTACCATTCAGTGTATCTTTATTTCTTTATTTTATTTTAACAAATTTTTTGAAAGCATTTTTTTTACTATAGATTATTGAACATTTTTGTTGAAATGGTAAATTTATAGATTTGTACATCCTGATTTTTTTTTCAGTTTCAGAAAATATTTAATTTTATTAATCTTTGATTTAATAATTTAATCCATATTATACCATGATGAATTAAATTGCACTATAGTGAGGAAATAAAAAAATATATACAAAATGTTTTGATAAATTGTATCATTTCATAAACACACTTCCATCTATATGATTTTGAACTTATTCTGATGCTCATTAAGAATTGAATTAAAATATGTAGGTTTTGATAAGCAAGTTATGAAGATTTATACTTGTAACCTGCTGGGGTCTTGTTAATAGGACTGGTCCGGACTGCATGTATTTATGTATATATTATGTACACAGTGTATAGAACATAGAGGAGTTGATGTACAGGTTTCGTGTAACTTGAATTTAATGGTTGCTTAGGTTGTACATATTTGGTAATGTTACCAATGTACTTATATATGTAAATATTTAAAGCTTATTTGTGTATATGCATAGTAAATTATAAGAGATCCAAATACAGCTATCTTTGATTTTTTTACATGGTATTTTTGGGAGTATTTAGTTGTAGAGATATTGTATCAGTTGTGGGTAAATAGGTACATGTATTTTTTAGAATGATATGAGTGTAGAGAAAATGTAAAAATAAAAAAAGTGTGAGAAATAAACTTAAGGTTAGAAGTTATTATAAGTCTAGCAGAAAAGAAACTGGAAAGTACTGTAATATTTTTTCAGTAATTAAATCTTCTTCACAGAAGTTGTACATACATACAGTTAGCAAGTTGCCCAATAGTAATTCTTCTCTTAATTTTTTTTTCCCTGTTTCTGCCTGTCCACAACTGCCAAGGTCATCATCTAGTGTCATGGCTAACATAAACTAGCACACACAAAAACACGATTGCTTGTGTTATCACATATACTTTACTTTAAACATCTCTCTATGCCATATATTCTTGACTTGCAGTTTTTAAATTATTCTTTCTTTTTTCTCTTCTGATTGCATGATTAGAGTTTCCTTTTCATAGCCTTTTGTTTGTATTCCAGAAGTTAAATGAAATTGAGCAGATGCTACAAGACTTGGACATTGATTCCCGTGCACTAAATCATAATAGCTATTTGCATGTGAGTGAACCAGTTAACAAAGATGAGCTAATTCAAGATAAAGCTGTTTTAAATGGTAACCAGAATGGAGACTTTGAAACAGTCAATTTCAGGTTAGTCAATTGGTGTTGACCTTGTTTCATATTGGTTGTGGTATATTTGAGTGGCATATTGTTTAGTTTACATTGTAGCTTAATTACTTAAATATTTATTATTGTTATTATTAAATACTTTTTTCTGTGTTTTATTTTGTGAAAGAACTTGTTTTGTTTCAATGTTAACAATGTAGAGTTAATGGGATGTATTTATTTATACACACACACACACACACACAGGGTGCAGTTACTCTTTTGTGATTGGCTGGAGTGACCATGCATGTACGTTGAAAGATATTGGGATTTAAACACAGAAGTTAATTTAGAAGTATATTAAAAGTGAAATAATGGTTGAACTGTTGCTGGTATACACATGTATGTTAGTTTCAGCCTGTATATTTTAGTATTTTAATCTTTGAAGAATTGGTTCCTAAACATAGACGTAACTAATCTGAAGTTATGATATTTTAAAACATAAAAACAACTATGTTTACTAAGTAGAGATTTGTTCAGTCTTTATGGTCTTTAATTTCTTACACTCAAGTTCAAGTTGAATATTAAAACAGAACTGCAGTCAACTAATTTTAAATGAGAAGGTTTATCATGTTCACAATGATATCATTAGCAGTGGCTTTGTATACAACAACAACAACAGCACATCTGTTAACTACTTCAGTAAACTAAACAATTCAAAAACATATACTGTGAGAGTTCTATTCATATTAATAATGTACTTATGTTTTCTACACATGACAATACATTTGGAGTAAACATATGAATACGAAGACAGCCTTATTTAGTAGTTTAAAAATTGCTTTATGTTGTGTATTTTGAAATTAAAGTCAGAATGACTCAAATGTATACTTTAGTTATGAATCATGAATGTGAGCTTGTGAAATGTACGAGGTTTCTCCATGACTTGTTGGAAAGAGTGTTTTCGATGATTAAGATATCCAGTGATGAAGGGCTGTATGACAGCCTAAAAGGGAGTAAGTTTTAAATTGTATTTGTGACTTTTCATTAACATAGGGAAATGTAATACTTTGTAGTATTTTCTATATAGTAGTGTGTATTTCAATTCAAGATTAAGTTTAAAGAAATAAAATTAGATTTTTCTTGCTCACCTAGTCTACATTAAAATTATCAATTATAAACAATATATAAAAAAGTTAATATTACAGTAGAAGCTATGTTTGTAAGCTTAATTTAGCATAGCTATTTTTGTGAATCTCCAGAACTTTTAATTTATATACAGAAATTGTTGGGACCATGAAGATTTTAAAGAATCTAGAAAACAGAGACCAACAGGAACAGCAACCAGATACAGTACTGGTAGGAGTTTTGCAGACAAGTCTACATGTAAAACTGTCTGTCAATCTACTGATGGGAATAGGTTCCTTCCCTGCTCTCCTATGTGTCAGGTCTCTTCCACACCCCTGTGCTCTGATCTTTCCTCACATGCTCATTCTGTGACAGATGGGATCTTAACCACTCAGGTACTTGGAAGTTTTGGTGGTGGCTATTTTGTCCTGTTTAGTAGCATGTTTGGTGGTTGGACAGTGGATGTTATGTTTATACCAATATTTCAAAATATTCTTAGACTGAAAACTTTTTTTTATGTATATAGAAAGGTTATCAAATACATAGGGTGTCATTCATTTTCAAATATTAACTATATCATAACCCTGATTTTGTTGAAACATTTTGTTACATAGTTGTAAACCCATAAGTATATTTTTTACTTTTAACAATTTTAAAATTGTTTAATAATATGGATACGTTATAATTATTTAGTAGCCTTAAAACATATCAAAGGCCTAAAATTTAACAGTTTGAAGTTAAATGATACTTATCACTAGAGAAAAATGTCCATTAATGTTTGTGTTATTGGATCAAAAATATAAGAAAATGTCTTATAATATCTTCTGATGTTTAATATTAAACCAGAACACTCAAAATAAACGAACATAAAGATATCTTAATCAAGTTGTTCACCAAATGGCCTTTCTTCTAGTTAGAAACTGGTAACATTGACAACTATGCATGAGTAAATATGTATTTTCAAAAGCATGAAGAATTAGAAGGAGCTTCTGTGGTGGGTCTTAACAAATGTATTAATATTTCAGAAAATAAAGATAGGAGATTCTAATTTTAAATTCAGGTCTGTCAGTAACTATAGTTGGTGTATCTAATTGGTCGACATTCTGAAACCCATATAAGGGAAGAAAGAAAATCTAAAATGGAGAATTCAAAGCTGACACATAGAAGTGGAGATTGAGAATTTATTTCAAATATTTTATTTTTAAATTGAGAAAGTAAAACTTGTATAATTAAAAAATTTGAATTATAAACTAAATATTGATGTCCCCCCCCCTATGCACAGAGCGTTGAAGAAGCTATAACTTTTATAAGTTTTATTCCTATCTTTAAAAAGAAAATCTTTTATGACAATATCATATTTTATTTTATAGACTTAAAGTTTTATATGAAGGTTAATGCCACTTTAACATAGAAAATTGTAAGTAGTTAAGAAAAGACATGTACTTCTAGGTATACATTAACTAGTAACTTGAATTTGGTTATTGTGGATGAATTGCATGAATACACATCTTTAAAGCTAAGCATTTAGCTTGTGTCAAAAAATTATAATATAATATTTGCAGTATAATGAGTTTAAGAGTTCAGCATTTAAAATGTATTATTTGGAATTGTTGTACTATATGTTGATGTTAAGATTGTGACATAACTAGGGCTGGATGATTTAATTGATCACCTACGAGCAGCAATTAATTACTTTGATTAATACCACGTTAACTAATTGATTCATTGAAATTATGATTAAATCAATTAATTAAAATTAGTGTTTTGATTATTTCAACAATGGATTAATCAAAGTTTTGATTATATTGGTTGTCACAAAAATATTCAACTAATTGAAGTTCAGGCTTCTGATTATTCCAACTATATGTATGTACAAGTAATCAAAATATTTCCAGTAAATATGCTCACCCCATATTTGTTATGGCAAAGCTACTAAGGCTATCTTGCATTTTCACTAACTTAGAGATACTGACTAGAGGGAAGGCAACTGGTTGGCAGTACCCATCACCAATTTTTTGTTTTATTGTTGTTAAACTACCAAATATAGGGAAGACAACTGGCTGGCTGCATCCACTGCCAACATTTTTGCTAGTATGTACCATGGTTTTGAGGAACATTGTACTAATCGATTAGTAACTACCATAAATGGTCCAGCTCTACCCATAGCACTATTTCTTTACTGACAGGAAAGATATAGAATGTGGAGTTGTGGGTGATTCATGCTTATTTCAAACTCCATTTAGCATTAGGCACATGTTTTACTTTTTTCTCAAATGTTTATGCCTAGTTTTCACCTATCTGACCATATTGAGGTAGTCTAGCAGTTTCACATGATAAAAGAAAGTACTTGACATGAAGTAAAGCATTTATCATGAACCTAAATATCATTTGTAATCAAAACTTTGAAGATTTAATTGAAAATAGAAGCTTATTCAATTACTATATAGCAATTCTTCATGGATTGATATCACATGTTTTAAGCATCTTGCTAAAAGTATTACTTGTTTAATCTTTTACATAGATATTCTTAATCCCATGCATAATTATTTCTAGTCTGCTGCCTTAAATGTAAGCTATACATATTTTTAGTGTATATGAAAATCAGTCTTATTTTGATAACTAGATATTATGATGTAAAAAAATATATTGTCATTTTCTTTGACTCTTGATCTGTTTATGGCTACATAAACTTTCACCTTTTTTGCACTTATTAACTAAGTACAAATTGTGTGTAAATTTTATATCTCTTTTCAATGATACATCTAATATTTCAAGCACTCAACTGTGACAAAAATTTTTTTATTTCTTGTATTTATATAATTGCAGGTAGGAAGGTGGCTGTTTTAGATAACAACATTTAACAATATATATAACATGACTTAAATAAATTATGATACAATACACTCATGTTGGTGTAATGTATGGTTTCAAGTAGCTCTTGTATATTTGGTACTGATACTTGTGGGCAAAGTATGGCACAGTGGTTAATGTGCCAGACTGTGGAACAGAAGGTACAAGGTGTAAGCCTGCAATATATCACTGAAAATGCTACTTACTTTAAGCTGTAAGCTTGTTTCATAAGTGGCAGTCAATCCCACTATTTGGTTAAAAGTAGCTATGTAGATGGCAGCTGTTGCCTGGTTATCTTCCTTGTTGTCATTGATTTTACATTTTGGATGGTTATGCATGAACCTTAGTGTCTCTGATATGACCGTTCAACTCATGTGCCCTATAAGTTAAAAATGTCAACCAATAGTTGTGAGCTAGAGAAAATAGTTAGAAAAATCAAATGTGGTTTAGAGCTCCCATTTAATGGCAGGAATTCTGTTCTGGTTCAGATTAGTCATTGGTATTCATATTTAGTTTACAACCTAAATATTAACTTGAAGCAAGAAGTATTCAACATTTCAAACTTTTCTCAAGCTGAGGTATATTCAGGGTTTGGGATTAGGGGTTCTCCATGTTGGGAAACATTGTTATTTAAATTTTTTAAAAGGTATTGAATATGCACAGATGTATACCTCTATGAACTGTGAATTAGGTTATTGAAGAAATAATTTTATTGAAACTTAAAACAAATACAGATATGGAAATGTTCAGTATGGTTCATATAGTTTTCAATATTTATATATCCCCATATGAAGAGACATATTTCCTATGTTTCTTTAGTCTCCTTTCCATAATTACGATTGTGCAGCACTTTTATTTCTGGACTAATCATCTTAATTCTTAAGAAGTATATATGCTGAATTCAAAAGAAATACAACATGCCAGTATAATGGATTTATTCAAATATTTGAAATGGAGATATCAAACAAAATCACAGAAAATGTGAACAAACATATAGATCCAAAAATCGTGATACGTCTTCAGTATAAAACCTGCCACACTGCCAAAATGAAAACATTACAAAGTTATTATCACATATGACCTCCCTGAGTATTAACATAATTCTGGCAGCATGTTGATGTTTAGATCTTATCTGCATTTGAATAGACTGCTGTGGGATGTTCCAACACTCTTCCTTTGTAGCTGCAGCCAGCTGACAATTCTGGTTAGTTGCAGTTGTCCCCTGCTGATGACATTAGCAAGTAGGTCCTACAGATGTTCTATTGGACTCGGGTCAGGAGAAAAAGCTGGCCACAGTCCTTTTGAATGGCTATTTATACAGATTCTTGATCAACTCATTTTGGCAGCTTTAACTCAACTCCAGTACTTAACACTGAGCATCTGCTGTATTTATAAAATCTCATGAGCTCAGTATTTTGTATCCCAAGGAACAGTTTTACTCAAACAATCAATAAACTTATCTGTTCACTATTTAGCATGCAAATAGATTATGTATATGCCCAGTGTGTTGTTGATGTAATGTTAGACTATTGTGTTTTCATTGTGCATCAGTATATCTTGATCCAGTATGCCTAGTCTCCTTTATAATTTTTTAGAATTAAGATCCTTGTTCCTATTTCAGAGGGTCAAAGATCAAACATTACAAAAACACATTTTGACTTGTCATTCCCCTTACATTTCTATCAATCAAAATGAGACATAGCACAAAGATCCTTTGTGACAATCCCCACTAACTACAATAAACATATTTGGGATTTATGTCAATCTTTTGATTTTATGTAGGTCATAGTGAGAGGGTTTTATAAAATTAGGGCTTTAGGCCTGCTATTCCCTTATATTTTGACCAATGAAGATTGGAATTGGTACAGCAATACTTTCTGACAACCCTCCCTCCAGATTGAAACAGATTTAAGTTTTATGCCTCTCTTGTGATTTTACAGATGCCTTTCATTTGATGTTACGGGAGTCAAAGGTAAAAAGTACTTTGTAATATAATGGTGAACTCTGAACCTAAACATTACTTGCATATTTAAACTTTACAAGGTGTGGTTATTAATAGTGTTTAGATTCACACAATGCATGAAATTGCATATACCATGTTGAAGATTAGGTTTTATTTGCACAAAAATTACCTGTAAAGTTTTTTGATTGTGAATAAATTTATTTCTGCAAAAATTGATTTTTCTGTGTATTAGAAAGTCACAATTTCATATGCTCCAATACAGTTTTCTCAAGAAAGTCACAATTTGATACTGTGTTAAGTGTGTATTTGCCTGAAGATTATATGGTGTAGTTTATGCCCCATTCTCTGCTTTGAATAGCACTTTCTCTTGAAAAAAACTGTATTCTGAGGATCTTATCAAATAAGCTGAATGTTTCTTGGAAATGTTGGCCTTTATAGTTGAGGTCTGTATTCTTTGGAAATGAAATCTGTAAATAACTAGTATCATAATTTACAAAATGCAGTGTATTAAAATAAATGCTTTTGGTGTGTGAGTGTGTAACAATTTACAGAATGCAGTTCATTATGTTGTGCATTTAGAGTGAGTGTGTATGTGTGTCACAATTTATGTAATACTTCAAGTTAAGCTATGTGCTTTTGGTGGGTATGTTTACTCTTGGTGTTGGCTCATTTTTCACATTTGAAACTCTTTTATTATCATATGGCCACAGTATTTTAGCTTTTAAAATGGTTTTAAGAAAATTACTTTATTGTGTGAAATGTGTTGTGTAAATGTTAAGAAGCAGTGTTTGATTAAGTACTAGTTAGCACTGTATACATAAACCTTCACATGAGATAGCACCAAGTGAAGTAGTTATTTGTTTGTTCACTTTTGTGTACTTGCATACATTTAGGTGTAATTATTACTTCATATTGTTTCACTATACACAGTAATTTCTCCTTTTTTTTCTTTCTTTTTAGCCTTCCACTCATTCTGTAAGCTCCTTTGCTGTATCATGGAAGGAAATAGAAAACTCCAGTTTTTCAGATGATGAACTCCCAGTGCTTGTTATTGATTTGAAGGAGAGGTTGAATCGAACATATCCCATATGGTTTCTTCCCGATATAAGTAGAGAAGGTGCTACCCATCTTCTTCAGGGAAAAGATGAAGGGGTATGTTTCCTGTTTGAAATTGTGTTTGTAAGATATCCTTTAGATCTTTCAAGGAAAGGTTTAAAAGTTAACTTTTCAGTGTGTGGTTAATTTAAAATATTGCTTATCTTCTGTATTTAAGTTGTCAGTTTAACAGTTCAGTTGGCTAAGCATTTCTTGCCCTCAAGGAATTGATGAAGAAAATTAGGTTTTAATTTGAAATAATTTAGGCATTTTAATATTTTTTATCGTTAGATAATCATTTTAAATATTGGGTACATAATTGATTTTCTTTGTTCTCCTTAAATTCTAATGAAGAATACTTTTGTTTTCATTGAATTTTATAATGAGAGATGGAGATAGTTTGTGTGTGTGTGTGCATGTGAATATATGTGATCTGGAATAAGTGTAGTTTGATTTGCTAGGACTAGAAAACTTGAATGTATTGGTTGAAGTGCACTTTTTTAACAATTGAAAACAACCACTAACTTTTGGTACAATTCATAAAATCTGTTTTTTTATATAGAATTTTTATCCTACAAGTAAAATATAAAATACAGTAACTGAAATGATGGATTGCATTTAATTATAATATGATTGGTAATGAACATGAATATACATGTTCAGTGTTATGACACTATTTATTAGGTCTGAAACTTTGAATTAATATTCTGGTATATTAACTATATTTACTGCAATGTTTCTAGAATTTCATTGTGAGAAAATCAAGCACACAAAATACATATGCTTTGACTGTTCGACTCCCTGAGGGCTGCAAACACATTGAGCATTACCTTGTGGAAATCCTACCTGGTAACTTGTTTAAGTTGGAAGGATCTCAAAATATATTTTCCCATTTACTACTACTTGTTTATCATTATTGCCAGTGCTGGTAAGAAATTATTCAGTTGGTAACTTTTTTTTTTTTTTTTTGTCTGGATATTTAAAAAATATTCTGTTATGTTTATTGCTGTGACTCTCTTAAACCAGTAAAATGATGAACAAAGAAAGATGAAATTGGCAGGAATTGCCTATTTTAGAGTGACACTTGAAGAGAAAATCTGGGAGAACTAATCTACTAAATTAAATTTGATGACGAGGAACCCACTTTGAGACTAAATACTTGGATATGGTTTTAATGGGTAATGAAGAAGAACTTTAATATAAGTTTAACATAACAGCAAATTAGCTTTAGTAGAAAGGACAATGTTTTAGTAGCTGTCTTCAAGTCAGCAAGGATTTCTTTGGTATTTGTAGGATTGAAGTAGACACGACTTTGCTGGGGGATCTTGTAGCATGGTTGGTGGAAGATGTGATGGTTTGGCCATTGATAACCACAAACTTCTGATTTCCATGCACGAGTCTCTATTTAGTGATGGTTTTCAGCATATTGATGTAGGAACATTTTTGATTCTTCCTATTTTGCAGAATTTATCTGAGTTGATATGTCCATAATTGTCCTAGTCAATCTATATCTCAGCGACATGGCATGTTTTTATCAGTCTTGTTAGTTTGTTTTCTTTTTTTTTCCTGGGTCATAATGTCATCCAGTTTCTCAAATATGACTGTTTACAGGAACATAGTATTTTACAAAGGAAGTTTTTGTATTTATCATCGGTCATTCTTTGTTCAGTTTTGACAAGGATAGATCTGAGTGCTGTGTGAGATTTCCAGCAGACATCAATGTTGGAATTTTTAGCTCTATGTTTGACTTTCTTATTCAAGTATTGTCCACAGGGGAAGTAAATAGTGTTGGACTTGTTTTTCTTGTCTATTTGTTACAGTTGGTATTTTAATGTTATTCATGGTATTGTGATGAAACTAAAAGGGTATCTATTCTTATTAAAATATTATATGTTGGCATTCACATTTGATGGAGTTTTTGTTACAGGTGTTTTCAAGCACTTGAAATTGCATTTAACAGAAGGTGGATGGTAAGATTGTAAATGTATCGGTCAGTATGAATTGGTTTCATGTATGTGGTGGTTGTGAATGTGCCACTGTATGTTGATGAAATTATCAAGAAACAGCAGGCTTTTGTTCTCTATTGCATGATGAAGTTGATTCTGTTGTCTGTGGAGTTAAGGTGTTGTAAGAAGGCTAGTAAATTTTTTTGTGTTGTGGATGATTTCTGCAGTGGGTTCATTAATAAATAGGTCTGTGACATCAAAACTGACGAGGATAACCTTTTCTATATAACCTATAAAACCTCCTAAATGAATATCAAAATTTTTTGATAAAACTTTTTATCTGTTATTTTGTTTACCTTAACACTTTACAGATTAAGTCCATTTGAACAATCTTGTAACAATCTCAAAAATTAACAAATTAAATCTAAATTACCCTTCTTTCTTTCTAGAAGGATTGTAGAGTGTAACAGATACTTAGTTATTTATCCTAAAACGTTCAGCTCTCTATCCTTTTCACAACTATTTTCATTTAATTTTATTGTTTTATTGCTCTTTGAACTGTGTTTAAGTACTAATCCTGTGTAAGAAAACTAAATTGCAGGGCAACTGTGTGGCTCAAATTATATAAATCAGTTACATAATTCATGAGCAGCTTGCTTGCAGACATCAATGAGAATTTTTTTTATATTTAATTTTTTCTTTTATGTTTTTGCATTTAACCTAATAAGTTTCTAATTTTTACCTTTAGTTACTTTTATAATAATGAACAAACAATATCCATATAAAACAAGAAATGTGTGTACTTACATGTGGATCTTTACTTTTTTTGCAGAGGAATACTCAAAGTATAGATAAAGCTCTCTCAGATTTTTACCAGGGTTGTTATTAGTATCGTACTAAATTTATATTTATTTCAAACATAAAATAATAAAATGACAAAGCATACAATGTCCTGTAACTGTTATAATTTAATTGGCTTTATAATAAGAATGTGCTACAGTAATTCCTTGAGGTGGTCAAGCTTAATTTGGGAATTTCAACTTTGAAACTGTATGCCAAATAATTCAGAGCTGTCATGAGAATGAGCTGTAAGTCAATAAATCAACATCTTCTATTTCTTTTGGTTATAAATATTGTAATAGCAAATGGCAGAGACAGAGAATTATTAACATTTTTTGAAAAACTATGTGATAGGAAGGCGTAACATGTGTTTTTTGTCCATTTGGTTCATATCTAAGTAAAACAAGATGATTGGAAGCTATACAGTTAGATTATGTATTGTTAATATCAATAATATAAGTTTGTAAATTACATTAAATCTCAAAAGTTTAAATATAAGTGGAGAGATTATCTAAGTTATGCATTTCAGAGCAAACAAATGTCACATGATACAAAACATTGAAGCTTGAGAATTTATTTAAGTATTTCCTATTGAAATTAAAGATTAAAATTTGATTTATCAAGTATTTTTTATCCTAAGTTTATTGTCATACATTGGTAATAAAATAATGTAATTAAATTTTGAATTTAGCTCTTTAGAAAGATTGTAACATGCACACTTTTACCTATCTATCTATATCCAGAGGGTTAATTCAGAAGGCTATCAAGACAACATTTATTATGTTCCACAATTTACCACATTCTTTATATCTTCTCAATGCAAGCTGACCTGAAAGCAAAAGACAGAAGACTTTTGAAACAGCTTATGTACATGAGCTAATTTAGTAGATAAGTCCTACAAGATATTCTTGTACAAGTGTAACTGAATTAGGGACAGTTGCTTCCCTAATTTATTATGTTCCACAATTTACCACATTCTTTATATCTTCTCAGTGCAAGCTGACCTGAAAGCAAAAGACAGAAGACTTTTGAAACAGCTTATGTACATGAGCTAATTTAGTAGATAAGTCCTACAAGATATTCTTGTACAAGTGTAACTGAATTAAGGACAGTTGCTTCCCAATTCACCTTAGTTTGTTCATCATGAATAATCTGCTGTAATCATAAATAAAAGAATTGCAAAGGGATATTTAATATTTGATTAAATAGCTTACAATTGTATATGGACATGTTTTACTTATAATTCAGTTATACAGCAAACTATATGTACAGAGAGTTGGGTATATTATTAAAATAAGCATAAAATTCACTCTTTCTGCTGTGGTGTTCAAAAGCCCCCCCCCCCCCCCATGATTCAAAGAGGTTCCATTATCCCCATCTTCATCCATAACAACTTCAAAAAGTTCTGTACCTGAAAAGTAACCTCTTGTTTGCTCCTAATGCTTGTGAATTGCCGTAGGAACACATTTTCAAATATGGGAATCCTGGAGAGGGAGTGTAGAAACAAAATCCATTGCCAGATTTGGGCTTTGCAACCTGAGCACCTACTCTTAGAATCTCATCATGCCAAGCTGACCTTCCAAACACATTTTAGCCCCCAGTGGTAAGGGGGCAATGCCAAATCTGCCTGCCAAGATTGGTTCTGGAAGTTCAAAAAGTGTGAGAGGAGTATGTGGACAATGAATCGAGCAAATAAATTCACACATAATGGTATTTTTGATCTACAGATCAGCAAATCATGCTATAACCACAACCAATATAAAGCTGTGGTGGGTCAGCGTGTATCAGAACTACATTTTGGCACTAATTAAATTAGTGTTAACTTTACCTTTATAATGTACTCAACCTGTATATTATTTTGCAATACAGAGATTCAAACAGTGTTGTCTGCTTCCTGTTTTTTGTTCTTTATTTCTAAAACATGAATAGTGCTGAGCAAATTTTGATTTAAAAAATCTTGAGACTAAGCTTTTAGTTACAAAAAGAGTTAATTTTTTATAAGACAAAAAATATAGTTAATTTATTGACCTGGACCATATATTGTAATTAATTAGTGATATTAATTTTAAAATATTTCAGCATTTTTTTTCTAGTTGGTTACTGTGTAAGTAGTTAATAAAGTAAACAGAAAACCAATATATCTGCAACATTACTTTAGTTAAGTGATTTAATATTCTTGATTCTTCCACTAGTGACGAACTTCCTGTAAAACTGTGCTTGCCTCAAGCTTTAGCTCAAGCTACAACATGTGCAGAACTGTCTTCACTTGCTCATTTGGGTCAAGGTTTGTTGTAAAATTTTTGTTTGTTTAATCATGTCATGAAATACATTTACATTTATTTGGACATCTTGCCTGAGTACTGTATATTTAGTGGCCCAAAATATCATCATAATAATATTCAAAGCAAGATATTCATTAATAGAAACTTTCCATATTATTTAGTTGTTTAGGCTTGCTTCTCATACTATTAATTTACAACCTTTACTGGCAAAAATAATGTTTCATTTCACTTGGTGAAATGTTAAAGGACCTTAAAAATTCATATTAAAATACAGGGAAAATTATCTTGAATTTAATAAAAAACAACAGTATACTTTAAAGTATTTTATTTCCTGAAACTGTGTGTGTATATATATATATATATATATATTGTTTATTAATAAAACTATTCAGTCTGATAATTTGATATTTATATTTTAGCTCTACTGTAGTAGCTTGTTTACACCACATCAATAATTAAAGTAGCAAACATTTAATACAGTTTGAAAGTTACAACTTAATGGTTTTCCAAAAACTGATATGTCATTTGTCATGGGCATATTTAACATGTTCTATCGTAAGAATATAATACTGTTTTTGGTGATCTAGCACACAGAAACTGCACTGAAAATAACCAGTCCCTTTTCATTTACCATTAATTTGTTGTTTGGTAATTACTATCATTTTAGTGACTGTATAACTTATTATTGATGGGAAATGGTTAATTACTGAAGTACAGACTGTCAAACCAATTCAAATTTAGGAAGTTAAACAGAAACAGGGATCACATAGGCTTGAAAACCTTGAATTTGAGGCATTGTTATCTTAACCCTATTGCCCTGGGCATCCTTTACTGTGCATGTCACAAGATTTTAGTGACTTAAACAAAAATAAGATTTATAAAATTTTGAATCGGAAATTTATGGAGTTTAGAAATAGCATATAGAAAAGATAAATCTACAAAAGAAGTTGGTTCAGAATAAAGCTTGTTATAAGCTTTAGTAAAATTATTAATTAGTGTGTCTGTGGATTGGTTAATAAGTTAAAATGTTTGTGTACTATTGATTTCATTTATCGTAATTGATGCATAAATCTTTTTTACAAATATAACCAAAATCACAATTAGCTTTATCAATGGAAGTATAACATATTTTACTTGTAATTCTTGGATCTTGTTTTTTAATTGATGAAACAATAAATCTATATAGTATTTCCTTAATTTTATACATGATAATTTTGTTTATAACTGATAGTTTTACCAATGACCAACTAATTAAAAGTAATTTAAAATACCAGGAGTTCGTAGTTAGTGGCAGTTTCACACAGGTCACAAACTCAAATTTTAACTGAGCATCAACGAGACCAGAAGTTGTATAATATTAATAATAAAATACATTAATTTCCAAAAAAGAAAGATAATAGGTACAAAAATTACTGCTGAATATCTGTAGAAACTTCTCTGATTAGTTCATTACTTTGGTTTAAAGAAAATATCTTTAATTAACTCCATCACCTCTGTTTTCAAACACATCTTTAATCATCCTGATACTTAAAGTTTCTAATTTTTCAAACTTTGTTAATTACACTTAAAGATTTATGCCATAGAAAGATTGCTTTTGGGGAAACTGAGCTTTGTTCAAATCTAACAGCGAAGGGTTTGGCAAGCGCCCCTAGCAGAAGAAAGATGTGAGTTAAAGCTAATCTGTCTGCTCTGGCTGATTCATGCTAACTCTGACTAGCTTGATCCAGTAACAACTTTTATATTCTGCTTGTTGATATGATCATTTCTAATCATTACATGTTATCATAAGTCTGCTTTCATTGGACTAGATCAGATTTCTGGTGTGGGATGATGCAAAATGTATTTAATAATCATTCCCCTAAGAACTCTCCATGTAGCACTACTCAGTGGGATATTATAACACTTGGTCTTCAATTGTTGAGGCTTACCTCAATGGATTAATTGCTATTCAAATCTTAATGCTGAACTTATCTAAGTCTCTTATCATTGTACATTTCTGTTGCTACTTGTGTATTTACTCATTAGTGTGACCTAAGAGAAAAGTGTTAACAAGCTGTTAGACCATTACTGTACTTTTTTTATTCAGTTCATGACATGGACTTTAATAACCTATCCTTCCCAGTTGAGTTAATCTTTTTACAATGGTCACGTACAATTTGAGGAAATTAAGTCACAAATTTCACTTCTATAACAATACATACAGTAACTCTGAGATTTCTTAACATATCCTCTCAAAAACTGGTAAGAATTTGTTAAAGATCACAAGTATCTTGTACACAAATAATGATGTTTTTTATAATTAAGTGTTTTTACAAAAAATGTTTTTTCTATTGTAGTTACATGTATTCAAACTATTAACAAATCGAGCGCAAGGTGATTTTCATTTTAAGTATGAAAATACTTTTCTTCGTCTTATAGTTTTCATATTTCATTAGCACAATCTCTGGAACCTCCTAAAAAGATATCAAAAGTTTATTTAAGGTAAATACTTGTTTTATTTTTCATTTTATCTACCATATCACTAAGTCTAGCTAATGCAAGGAAATAGAAAAAAAACATACA